GCGTGAGAATAAGGTGTATAATTATGTATGAAAATGAAAATGCGATGGCCCGTTACCCCTCTCGAGGACTATTTAAAACACATGTACGGTTGGTAGAAAAAGGCGATCTTCTTTTCTCCATTATCGAATTCATCTATTAAACGGACACTCACTTTATTTTATCCCTTAAAAATGCCTGAATTTCTAAAGACTGGATCTTCTCCGAAAACTAATGGAGGCGCCCAAACTTTGGATGTACCGGCCATCGTCAAAGGCGTGATTGATGACATCCGTGCTCGAGGTGATGAAGCTGTTCGCTCATACTCCGAGAAGTTTGATAAGTGGTCGCCGGCCTCCTTTCGGCTGTCCAAGCCTCAAATCGATGAGATCATTTCCTCGGTGCCTGAGCAAATCGTAGCCGACATCAAGACGGCTCAGCACAATGTACGTGCCTTTGCAGAGGCGCAGAGAGGCACCATCACGGACTTGGAAATTGAAATCAGCCCTGGAGTGCATCTTGGCCACAAAAATATCCCTATTGACTGTGTCGGAGCGTAAGATACCAAGTTTATTCCCCCAGTCGAACTACATTTGCTGACCTTATCTCAAAAGGTACATTCCAGGTGGAAGATATCCCCTACTTGCATCGGCTCACATGACAATCCTCACTGCCAAGGTCGCCGGTGTCCCCAAAGTCATCGCTTGCACTCCTCCGATTAATGGCGAGATTCCATCCTCGACAGTAGCAGCTATGCATCACGCTGGCGCTGATGAAATCTGGATTCTTGGTGGGGTTCAAGCCATCGCGGCAATGGCTCTTGGTACCGAGACGATGCCCAGGGCCAACTTCATAGCCGGCCCTGGAAACCCGTTTGTCGCCGAGGCAAAGCGCCAATTGTTTGGAGACATTGGAATCGATCTTCCCGCCGGACCGACTGAGGTTCTTATTGTTGCTGATCACAAAGCTGATCCAACTACTGTCGCCGTCGACCTTCTTTCTCAAGCAGAGCATGGTCCTGATTCCCCAGCTGTTCTTATCACAACCTCAAGGGAGGTTGGCGAGACTTCTATCAGAGAAGTGGATCGCCTTCTTAAAATACTCCCAACAGCACCTATAGCTTCTGTTTCATGGGACAGATTTGGCGAGGTTGTTCTTGTTGAGACGTTAGACGAAGCGTACAAGCTAGCAGATGATTATACTAGCGAACACGTTCAGATTCTGACAGAGAATCCGCGCGAAGCTCTGAAGAAAATGTCCAATTACGGGGCTTTGTTCCTCGGCGAGAAGACCTGTGTGTCATACGGAGACAAGGTATTTCCCTTCCCCTACTTCATTTGGAAAAACTGTAATTCTAATCTCGAGACTAGGTCATCGGCACCAACCACGTTCTTCCCACTAAGAAGGCGGGTCGGTTTACCGGAGGCTTATGGGTTGGGAAGTTCCTCAAGACGGTCACCTATCAGGAGGTCACTTCAGCTTCCCAAAGTGGCGAACTGGGTAGGCTCTGTGGACGAGCTGCCCGCGCGGAGAATTTTGAAGGTCACGCTCGCTCTGGTGACCTTAGAGCGCATCTATATCTTGGCGATAACGTAGAGTGGTTATCAAAATGATGTTTTGTTTCTACAATAATCAATGTTATATGCACGTAAAGCCAGAACTCGCAGCCTCGTTACCCAATTTTCCGTGATGGTTGATATGTTAACTTGAATTGTCCGACTGAGGAGAAGAGGAACCACATCTCAACAAGCGTTAGTTAGCCTATGTAGTTGGTGTCATATCATTTGCAGCGCTGCTTCTATTATTAATAAGGCGCTAATATTGTGATTTCGGTGGACAGACTAGACTAGACTAGACTGACCCCGCCCCCACACATCTTTTGCGAAGTTGGCTGAACGAATCTCAAACCGTCCTTTGGCACACTTTTAATCCCAACACGATGCCGCCAACACCTCAATACCAAAGCAGCAGCAGCCGAGTCAAGGCGTGTTTGGCATGTCGGCAACAAAAAGTATGAGAGGCAACCTGTCGCTCTTAGGATTTTAAGTTACGCCATTGACTGACTTCTTCGAAGGTACGGTGCTCCCTCCGAGATAGCCGAGGGCCGTGTCAACGATGTAGGAAGCGCAACATCGAATGTGTCTGGAAACGGTCGTCAACCCAGCTTGACACGAGTAGCGAGGAATTTCAAGGATCTCCGCTGTACTGTCTCTTAGATTGCTTCCCAGACGCCAGCTTGCTAACGCTTGCTCACAGGACCAACGTGGTAGAAGACTTACAGATGCTTCATGCCGCTATTAATAAAATCCTTGTCGGCAATAGACAATTGCCACTTGACCCATTGAGGAGCACCTCTGCAGGTACAGGGCTTCCACCTCTGGAGTCTCCGGATCTGCAACAACACCAAGATGAGGCTGAAAACATGGAACCGACCACGCGGGATGAAGACACCGGCATTAGAGATTCTGTCGAACCTCTGAACCAGGTTCCTATAAAATCACTATATGAAGTCACACAATTGGGGTCTCTGCGCCCGAGACAACTATCACCACCACGTTCAGCGAACAGCGCCCCTGGCTCTACCCGGTTGCTTTCAGACATAGTTTCCCAAGGCAAATTGGACTGGAATGATGCACTCCGATTGACTATGAGGTTCCTAAACAAGACGGACTATTATCTCTACGGTGTACTGCATGGATTTGACAGCATCGAGAGTATTCGTCATGCCTCGCCTTTATTGTTTACGGCTATTTGCACCGTCTCAGCTTTGCATGAACCTCATGGAGAGGCCCTGTTCCAGATCTGTAGTCTTGAGCTACGTACTCTGATTTCCAGCTTTGTCTTTGCACCCAAAGCGACAGTGCATGATTTTCAAGGCTTGTGTATCGCGTCGTTTTGGCTGAGCGACATATCCTGGTCCGTGTCTGGGCTTGCCATCCGCCGCGCCATTGAGTTCCAGCTTGAACACTCCTTCGAAATTGTGGTCGGGGACAAGCAATCGCAGCGGAGATCAGGTACTAAGATTCAATTCACCAGTGATGAGGATGCACTATCCTGCCTCCGCGTGTGGTATCTCTTCTTTATTTGTGATCACCATATGTCAATTCTTTATGGGAGGCCATCCAGCTTCGGCGTCCAGGCAGCAGTCAATAACTGGGAGCGGTACTTCAAGGTGATGCCCAAAAGTATCACCGACACACGTATCTCAAGCCAAATCGAGTTATTGCTGATACTGGAGAAAGTTACTCAGCTTTTGGGCCCAGATATTCATGCTCGGACCCCTCTGATCTTTAAGACTCAACTAAAATTGTTCGATCAGCAGCTTGATCAATGGCTTTCAAGTTGGACCATCCGTTATGGTAAGTGTCATTTATCCTGTTTTTATAAACAAGATTCCAGCTGGCTAATGCTCACCCCCAGAACAACACCAGAGGATAGGAGAATATCCTCGCAAGTCACTCACGATCCATTATCTCTTCGCCAAGTTGTTCCTTACTTCGCACGTCTTTCGAGGACTATCATCCGATCCAAATAAGGACCCAATCCCCCAAGAATTTTACGAAATGGCCCAGGATGCAGTGAGGAGTGCACGGTCAATTATTGACCTTGTTACCGGAGATGAGACAATGAAGGCTGCATTTGTTGGCATGCCTCACTACTATCACACGTTTGTCGCATATTCCTGCTCGTTCCTGCTCAAGCTTCATACCGAATATCATCAACACCTCGGTCTAGAGTGTCAGGATATCCTTCTGGCGATTTCTCGAGTTATTGAGCTTTGCCAGCGTACCGCCTGTGCTTCCTATCATCTCGTTCGCTGGATGGGAGCCGGGCTACAAAAGCTATCAAAAAACTACGAGGCGGCTTTAGCGAAAGGGGCTATGCGCCGGCAAGAACCTACGCTGGCCAGTGATGATCGAATGAATCAGCTCCAGCCTTTTGATAGCGAGATTGGGAGTGAGTTTGGGACTTTAGTGGACAGTGAAGCCCGATGGGATATGTCAAGAGACGCTGAAGGTTTGTTCTCCGAGATATGCCAAGATGTAATTCCCAGTACATCTCAGATTGGGAACAGCTTATATCCTACGGATGGCAACGCGGCTCAAGCGGATACTGGGCAGTTCGATCAAGATTGGGGCTTTGTTTCACCCACCTTTGGATCGGAATATCTTGGGTTTGGGCTATTATAGAGATTTCTATGAAGTTGCTAGAGGACATATATTCGAAGCCAGGTGATTTGATAGTCGCGGAGCAATCATACTATTAATTGGGAAATTTCCTGATATATCTATCTCTATTATCCCCCAGTATAGCATTTGGGATTGCGGCAGTTGGTTCAACTGGCGATGCACTCTTCTATATCTATATCTACCTAAGTGGCAATAGATCTTATGAGTATCTTTGTAATTATTATTATCTTGTAACTCAATTCTTTTTTGAGGTACGATCTCTATAGCCGCTGAGTGTTGTTTTTGTTGACAACCAACATCTTATTCACTTCAGTTCAAGTACAACATACACATGGCCAATGAGGGTATCGTCGCATATTAAATACAATAAGATGGTTACTATATTGGGACTTTGACGCAATGATTTGCGCAGCGGCCACGGTCACAGAGATTCGGGTTGCCCATCTTGGCGAAAGGCAGACAGATGCCCACTTTATGATTGGTAAGCCGCAGCGAAGTGGATGAAGTGGATGAAGTGGATGATGTGGATGATCTTATCTTCCGTGGTTGGTCACTGGACTGGCGATTGGATCTCACACTATGAAAACCCAAATTTGGCCCTACAATTGGTTAGATCCATGCAAAGGCGAAAAAAGGAAAAAATTGAACAAAATTGAAAAAAAAAATTCAAGACAAGCTGAGCGTCGCGAAAAGGATAAATGACGCATCGGCCGATCGCTCTTGTCACAACGGATATTACGGCTGAGAGAAACGGTTGAATTGAAATATCGAATGATTAAACCAATCCCTGCTCGTCGGTTTTTTTTGGGTTGATTATTCTTCAACTGGGTTGATTATTCCTCAACGCGCACCTTGTCGGCCTGGAGACCCTTCTGTCCCTGCACGACTTCGAAAGTGACCCTCTGCCCCTCCTTGAGGGATCGGAAGCCGGTTCCCTCGATGGCCCTGAAATGAACAAACAGATCGGCACCCTCGTCGGGGGTCACGAAGCCGTATCCCTTCTCGTCGTTGAACCACTTGATGGTTCCCTGCTGGCGTTGTTCACTCATGATGGCGGGTGATGTGCTAATTAGAACGCGGTCAGAATTTTGATGCTTTCGGGTGCCTGCGCGGCGGGAAGAGGGGGAATTTACAGGGAGAGCTGAGATGGAGCGAGGGCGAATCTTGTAGGCACAAAGGCAGAATAACGGGGATGAATGGGGGAAGAAGAGGGAAGGCCAAAGTGTGGCATCCCACATTTTTATACTTGCTCAACAAGGCACTTAAGTGGCGCTATCAGAGGCATAACATGTACGTAAGCACGCCTTACACGGTCTCAATTGGCTGGTACCCCGCACGCGCACGCACGCCTTCTATCACGCTGCTCGTCCTTAGGCCTGATCCTGCATCGGAGGGGGATGAGCCTGCCTTGGGCTGGCCCGTAGTGCGACGCGAGAGAGTCTGTACCACATGGACATCCGCGTTGCCCAGAGACGGAGAGACACTGAAATGCAGGCGGAAGAGAAGCTTCCATGTGGGCGGCGCGCCACTGTTCAGCTTGGAAAGCGTCCAGAAAACACTCGCCCCTCGCTAAATGCGCATTTGTATGGATCCAGACAATGCCAACGGCCTTGCATTAGTCACCCGGCTTCCTTCCAAAGGCTAGAAAAGGAAAAGGTAAATGTGATCAACAGGAACTCCAGAGTTCTGCAAAGCCCAGAATTGGTCACTGCTTGTCGCGGGCCATAAGCTCACCCAGGCACTCCACGATATTTTCAGGTGCAAATAGTGGAGATGGGAAGGTAGTTTTCCGTTATAGATCGTCCACTGAGGACTTTCCGACAGTACCAAAGGTTTCCAAGCTGGGAATAGACTTACAACGTGCTGACTTTGCCTTCCACTCTTTCCAAGGATTCGTCATGATATCGCTTATAGTCCCTAGACATATCATATAATCATAAAGGCCAGCGTGCCACTGACCCTGTCTAGGTAGAGACTCTTGCTTATTTGGATTTCGCATTTTTATAACAGACAATCAGATTTGGGAAACCGTGTCTTTCTCAATACATTAAATCGAGGTGTTCGGGTCTAGTCGTTGGCCTCTTCATTCTCCAGCTATCTATCGCCGTCTCCAGGACTCTCTGGCCAGCAACGTTATTCTTCAATTCAAAACTGCAGTTTGATAACGGATTAGCTTAAATCAGGTTTTGTACACTTCTTCTGTCTTTTTAGCTTCTCCTAGCCGTGATTCTCCATTGAGTTGCTGTTTACCAAGAAGATTAGCCCATCGGATTAATATGTTATTTATCAAACATTAGAACTTTAATAGGAGAAAACAGGGTAATATTATTTGGAACGTCTGAAATCTGCCAATGATCAACAGAGGGTATCAGGCAGCAACGCGCTGGAACCCATCCTCTGACTCAGCGCTGCCCCCCCAATGCTCTATTTAAGTGCCCAAACTCCCCATCGATCAGCACCGCAAACACCATAGCAAGAAGTAATACAGGTGCCTAAGCCTACCTAGGTAACCATGTCGCTCTTACTCATGATACCAGCTGAGATTAGGCTCGCCATTTTCCGCTGGACCATCTGTTCCGTGAACACACCGCCGTCACACCCTGCAGAAGAACAGCCAATCCGTCGAAATTTGAAGCTTACGGTCGGTTTCACTAATCCGAAAATTAAGCACCTTAGGCCTCCTAACCATACTCTGCCGCTGCTTCTGGTGAACAGGCAGGTCTACGAGGAAGTCAAGGCCATATCCTGCCGCCTGTCCACAGACTACTATGTCGACATCATGGTTGTCAAGAAGTCTGGGCTCTGGCCTACTTGGTCAATTCCTGTCCTTCCTCAGACACAGTACATCGACTCCATCAACTGCACGCTTCGCATCTTTGACCCCGTGCCCCCCAAGCCGTTGGATGGTGCTCCCGGGCCCCAATCCTTGTCCGAGATTCAACTTGGCCATGGTAAAGCATATAAAGAAAGGCGTCGCCGCCATGAGTCTACCCATTCCGATCTAAATTGGCGTAGATCTGCCAAGCCAAGGTTGATCTACTGACTACTCGTGGATATCTTCTATAAGGGGCCTGGGCTTCTGGGAACGCCCAGGGGTCCGGATATACCGCCACCGCAATATATAGTCAAAAAGCTTGTCATCGACATTCTGGCACCTGTAGAGACGTCAACTAATGAAAGCATGGTAGTTGGTGACGGCCACGACAAGGCAGCCAGAAAACTTCTGGAAAACCACCCGGACCATGACAATGCGTCTATTACGCCAGAGGAATCTCTAGCGAGATGCTTATGTGAATTTTTCGACAAAATGTTGTCCTTCGGTCCCGATGGTGATAAAATGGGTCGGTTCATCTATGAGCAAGTGGTAGATAATATCGCTTTCACAGTGAACGGCAAAGATTTCAGAGCGTTTGAGCTTGAAAGTCGGTTGAGAGAAGAGAAAGCCAAGTGGAGATATGAGACAGCTAGCTACAACGGAGGGGGTAAGAGACTTTCTGAGAAATGGATCCTGTGGGTGGATAAGAGACGACAGAGGATGAGAGAAGGACACAAGATAGACTTCGATCAAAGACCCTATTCTGGCTTCTCGTTGTGATATTGGACAGGGGCTGGCAATTGGTTTCTTCCTCTTTACATAGCTAAACTTTCCACATGAGACTTGGCTGTAGTTATTAGAGAGCTGCAAAATCATATATTATTTACGAACATGCTTATTTCAACATAAAACAACGCAGCAATACATCAAGCTTTTGACATAGGTGAATATAGGGTCTATTCAGCCTTGTAAAACAATATCGACAAACAAAGAAACAGCAAACATATATGCTCTTCACTCTTCATCTATATTATCCTCCGTAACCAGAGCGAATATCTTCTCTGAATGATGAAGACTAACAACCCACTTGACACCTTCGTACCCTTGGCGTGCTTTAACCTGGATCTCAATATCGCTGTCCGGTTCCATCACAGTTGCCGCAATATTCGTGTTGTCCGTAGTTGGGAGATTCCAGCTCCCATTAGCAGGCGTAATATCCAGTCTTGCGATGAAGACGGCAACAACAGCAAGAATTTCATTTGTCGCAAAATGTCGCCCAGGACATAATGTTTTGCCCCCTCCGAAAGCACGGAAGCACGCATCGCCTGGCCGGTTCTTCTTCTCTTCACGCAAAAATCTGCGAGGATTGAACTCTTTGACACTGGCACCCCAGAGGCTGGCGTCCTGGTGGATAACACGGCTGGGCATTTGCACCATGGCACCCTTCTTCAAAAGGAAAGACCCCACGTATGTGTCTTCCATGACTTCGCGCACTGATGTGCCCATGGAGCAATACCTGAGAACCTCTTGATAGGCTGAAAGAAGAAGTGGACAGGCTTCTTTGAGCGTCGTGATATTAAGTGCTTTAGTGACAGAGCCCATCTCATCAGTCGTGGTCTCAGTGCATGCATCGACTTCTTTTCGGATGTCATTGAGGAGATCTGACTGTGAGTAAATGAGGAGGATGGTCCAGAAAGTTGCTGGTGCAGTGTTTACCAGCACCGCGATTGAGCCTCCAACTTCAAACCGAGCAATGTCTTCCAGAGAAAGATTATTGTCAGCCTCGGATTGGTACCGATTCTTGGCATACGCAGACCCCAACTCCACGCCTCCCTTGTTGTAATATTCTTCAAACGCTTTGGAAACCTTGGTTCGCGCCGCAATGGCCTTTCGGGCGGTGATAGATGGAAGAACCCCGACCAGGATCGACATGAGACCGCTCTCAAACTCCCTTGATTGAAACAAAATAAGCTTTGAACTCGCCATTAAAGAGTATCCCAGGTTGCACCTACCAGAAAGCATCCGCAACAGCTTTATCGTTGTAAGGATTCATCGGCCCGTATACAGACCTAGTTGTGGCCAAGGTGATGGCCCCTCTTAGCCAACTGTACATCTCCAGTTTTCGAGACTCGCCCTTTGCTGGCTCAAGTTCATCAAGCGCCTTGACGATTTCAAGAAGCATTGACCTATTCATATCGTCAAGTTCCGGTCCAGGCTTGAGTGCAGCACGCATCGCGGCATAAGAATCCATGGAAAGACCAAAGTCACCCTCGTCCCCATTCACATTCTTGGCCAGTATAGCCCGAGCCTCAGGGCTAGCGCCGCACACTGTGGCGGCAAACTTTGCCTCAATCGGAGGGAAGGCCAATGTCTTGTGTTGTTTTTGAATAACCTGTACGAGTTCTGGCTTGGTCACCACGTACATCTTCTGGCCCGGGAGGGACATGGTGAAGATGGGCGTTTCCGTTCGCTCGCTGAAGAGTTTGAAGTTAGTACACGCCCGTGATAGATTGGGGATATTTGGAGAGCGCATTACCTGAGGTCAACATAGTAATTGAATCCTCTCCGTGAAAGTCCGACTAAATGACCAACGATGGGAATTGATTTGGGAGCCAACGGCGGCTCGCGGGGATCATGGCCACCTCGCAGCAGGAAATAGGCCAATGACACCACGGCGATCGTGGCCGTGAGAACAGCGAGATCGGTGACGATGTGACCCATGGTACTGGTGATGCCAAAAGAAAGTACAATGAATGAGGATGCAATGTTCGAGGAGAGGGGGAAGCAAATGGCAACCGATCTCCTCTGTATAAGGAGGCGTCAGCGAACTCTACTAGTGATTACAAAAGCTGGCCGGAGATTCGCTGGCATGGAACAAGATGATGACAGTGGATCTCCGTTGGATTTTAGCGCCAATCTCTAACATGCCCATATCCTTACCAAGCTGGCTTGGACTAGGAAGTTGGTACGTCAGAACATGCCGTAGGTTTTGCGATGATGAATCTCTACTTTCCCAATTAGGCCAGTTGGATAATACAGAAAAATCTATCGCAAATCCCCTTTCGATATGCTTATTTTCCAATAGGTAGAGAACGTAAGTATCGTATACAATAGTAGAGATATAAAACATTCCAATAGTGATGTCGAAAAAGTATAGGTATGCTGATTTTGGCCTTCTGTCGTGCATAAGTTGAGATATATCTCAGATAATGATACTAACTTAATTAGAAGCATAGGGGAAGAAACCCCCCAGAATCCAAGGATATGCTTTCTTCAGTGAATGCAGATTATCATTCAGAGAGAAAAAGCTCTCATGGCTATTCGGTCTATTCTAAGAAGCTCATTAGAGCTTCTCGGGAAGCCTGTCACTGACCTGCAGACTCATGACCGAAGGCTTCAAAATAAGGAACGACCTGAATCATAGCATGTGCACACAACATGCGACATAGTATATTTTCATTAGTTCAGTTTCTTATTCTGCACGAGATATCTTTTCCATCGAGTATTTGTTGTTAACCTTTGGTATAAGTACGTCGTGATAAGTTTCCCTCAATCCGTCATCTTAAACTTGAATTCTCACTCAGTTGCAAAAGGGAGAGCCTTTGGATGTCAACGATGTTGAATAACCTCCCTTCGGTGCGTTTTGCGTATTCTCTCGCCACCCTTGTTGCATATGTCCCATGTTGTAGGACAAGGGTGGAGGTCCTCTTCGGGTCTGAAATTGCTCATCGTATTCGTGTCGTGATTGTCGTGCCATTTGAAACAAGGTTTTCTTGCTATGGATTTTATCCTGTGATCAAGATCAAGTTGAACAACTTTCTATCTTCAATTTTTGAGCCTAATACAGAGCTTCTCAAAGATATCGTATCAATTTTAGAACGAGCCGCGTTTTGAGAAGCGTTTGTTGCGCTGCAGGGTAAATCATAGGCTGGGAACAGCCTAGCTCGGATCAATCGGTGCGAATACGAGGTTTCGTTGCCGAAAACCCGAGTTTTGGCTTTGGCCACTCTCCATCACTCTCATCAATCGCATTTCATCACCTGGTCGTGTGCGTGTCAGCTAGATATCGCTACCTGGTGCGAGGTTATCCCAAACTATCCCGGATGGCAAACTCAGAAGCCTCGGAGGAATCTAGCGAGCGGCATGTTCGGTCGCCGTCCTCTTCGCGACCGTCAGCGCCGTCGCCACACCACCCGGCCCCCGGGAGGGGGGTAAGGGAAACAAGCGATGGAGGCGAGAGGGAGAAATCCTCGAGGCCGCACGCAACAGTGTCGCGGCGGTCGCATGCGAAATCTAAGACGGGCTGTCGGACGTGCAAGCGTCGAAAGATCAAGGTGCGTGGCTGCTGGCTGTCCTTGATGATGATGATGACGACAGCCTCTCACATTCCCTCCGGCACCTGGAGAGAAGAGAGAGAAATGAAACTGTTGGGATAAAGCTGGAATGGGGACTGTGCTAACCATGATGGCAGTGCGATGAGCATCGGCCGAGCTGTCGTAATTGCATCAGGCATGGTGTGTCATGCGACTTCGACGCTCAGGTATCTGCAAATGGCACACCGAACAGTTCAGCATCGAAAAGTCTGCCAGACAGGAATGTTGGCAGTAATTCCTCTGGCAACCAAGCTACAGACTTGAACATGGTTGATCTAGAGCTCATGTACAACTTCACCACGTTTACCTTTGCGACACTCTCAGACGACCCTTCGCTCCGCCAGATGCTGAAAACCACAGCTGTCAAGATGGCCATGGACAACGATTGTCTGATGCGCATGATTCTCGCCGTATCTGCCCTCCACCTCGCGCACTATCGCCCCTCAAGGAGGGTTCACTACCTTCAACGGGCTTTGGAGCACCATGCTGCTGCCAATCGGAAGGCCATTTCGCTCTTAACGGACTTGAGACAGGAAGACTGCGAGGCGCTCCATCTCTTCTCTGTCCTGACACTCTTCTTCGGTATGTATCAAGCTCGTCACTCGCCCACCAGTTCCGGGTTTGAAATACCAAACTAACCAAGTAATGTGGCTATCAGCGCTTGGATGCCCAAGGGAAGAGCAGTCTTCTTTCATCCTTGGAGAGTCCGTCGTGCCGAACTGGCTTGCCTTGGTGCGCGGGACAGAGCCCATCATCGAGATTCTTGACCCAACGACGTACAAAGGGCCTATAGCGCCCCTCTTCGAGTATGGCAGAAATGCCTGGAGGAAGTTGTACGGTTCCGAGCAGCCGCGAAACCCGGCGCTGCTCATGGAGCTCCAGGACCAAGTGAGCCGGGCCTGCAAGGATAAGGAGGTTCTACCCATCTACCTGGCGACCATCGACCATTTGCGGCATATCCTTGGCATGATAATCCCGAGCGCACGGATTGGAGGAGCCGACTGGAACGGCGGCTCTCTGGATGGCTACCACACAACGGCCGCCAGCGCCAGGCCCAGCCCTCAGGGGCCGAGACTGGAGCCGTGGGACATATTGGTGGTTACGTGGCACATGGTGGATTTCCTGTCACTGCTGCAAGTCGCAAGGCCGCAGCAGGAGGCCCTTTCCATCTTTGCCCATATGCTGATCATATTCAAAAAGCTCGAGAGCCAGTGGTGGCTGGAGGGATGGGCCACACATGTAATGGAGCGCGTTTGGGGGCTGCTGGATGATGAGCACAAGCTGTGGACGCAGTGGCCCATTGAGGAGCTTGGCTGGGTGCCTCCTTGAGCACCTGAGGGAGAGAGCCAGGGGCATTCAGGAGGATTTATTGGTGTATAGTTTCAACGTGGATGTGTATTCATTGTAATCAGCTGTGACTTATGGTGGATGGTTCCACGCGGATGGACTGGAATGTAAGACGGGCGATTTGAGGTGCAGAATGCTATCCCCTATGCTCCATAGAAGTACCGCTGTAATCCGTTGATTACTCCTTGCTGACGCCCTGGACCTTGCCAATGAGAGCCCATGCCCACATTTGTTCTCAGGGGAGGAGAATCCGGTAAGGCGCTCGCTAATGTCGCGATTTTCTCTCACCTGCGCAGAATTGACGATTGATGGGCGTCGAGTCTGAATTCGATGGCCCCAAACGCTCAGTTGGACCCTCGCGATAGCGACCGTGGAACCAGCGAGGAACATGCGTCCGCTGTAGACGAGACCTCACGGCTTCTGCCTCCGGTCGCGCAGGATGGCAGCACTGCAGCTGTTCACGCCCCAAGCAGGGCCTTTCAGCTCCGCGTCCAGCTCATGTGCGCCGTCTTCCTCTTCATCATCGACGTCAGTGTCTTCATAATCGACCCCCCTACCCAGCAGATCCTGGAGGACATCATCTGCCGGGAGCGATATGGCGGTGACCCGTCGGTTTTGCTCGCCAAGGGCCCCGGCTCTCCCTGCAAGTCTCCTGACGTGCAGTCCAAGCTGGCCATGTTCACATCCATTCAGGCCCTCTGTGGGACGCTTTGCCGTAGGTGGAACCCCAAGTATTGATTCTTTCAGTTAGCGCTAACACTGCATTCCTCGATAGCTCTGCTGGTCCAGGTTCCCTATGGCCTCCTCGCAGATCACTCCGGCCGGCGGCTTGTGCTTTTCCTCTCCATCGTTGGATTAACACTCATGGTCACGTGGAATGTTTTCATTCGTATGTACTTCTACTTGGAATAAACTGCCAGAAACGTTGCTCACACCCCTTTCAGTTTGGTTCTCTGACATCTTCTCGATCTGGCTCATGATACCCGGCTACATTTTGCTGTTCATCGGAGGCGGAGCTACCATGGTTGCCGCCATGGTTTGGACCATTGTGACGGATGTCACACGTGAAGAAGACCGATCCAGTGTCTTCTATCGATTGGTTGCCCTTACTCTCATCATCAGCGCCTCGGTCAATCCCCTCACCGCGTGGCTTATGAACTACAGCCCCTGGCTGCCGACATTCTTGGGTACCGGCTTCCTGTACGTGGCTTGCTTCTTCGTGCTCTTGATGCCCGAGACCCGTCTGGTTGGCCTGGCCCTCAAAGACGTTCCCGACATCCCGGATGGTGAGGTGAGCACCGACGACGATAGTGGCCCTGGCGTCAAGGCCGAGAGCATGCTCTCAGTCGGCTGGGATAAGTTCACCAAATACCTCGCCGAGCTCTGGCAGTTCGTTATTGCAGACAAGAAAATAATGGCTTTATGCCTTTGCGAGGCGGCATCAACCCCCATCGGCACAGCGATGGCTCTTTTTGCCTTGCAGTACATTGCTGTTCCCCTGGGAAGCTGGTCGAAAGCACTGACGTTGTTAACCATCTCCAAGGTGACATCTGTTATCCTCCTCCTTGGCATTCTCCCGCTGTGCACCCTTATGATTCTCAAATATTCCAGCATTGACCGGATGAAACTGGACGTCTACTTGGCGCGGACTTCGGCCGTCTTGCTCACACTGGCCATGTTCGCCATGGGTCTCGCAGATACCGAGTGGGAGCTCATTTGTGCGCTCATCATTTACGGGCTAAGCGAGGGATTCTCCGCGCAGATGAGAGTACTGATAATCGCCATGGTGGAACCGCATATGGTTGCGACTGTGAACACCACAATGTCCACTCTGCAATCCCTGATGTTGATAATGACGACACCTCTGATCGGGTGGTTGTTGGGTAGGGGACTGGAGATCGGCGGAGTGTGGACAGGACTGGCATACATTGCACTGGCTGCGATTGGGTGTTTGGTTTCCATCACATTATGCTTGCTTAGGCTTCCATAGAAACTTCATAGAATTACGAGACTCAAGTGATATGAGCTGGGAACATTTGGAATAAGGTATATTAAGATAGTTGCCTATTCTAGCTTCGGTGTTCTCTTAATCATAAATAGCTCACTTTTTATACAACAAGAACCAAGTGTTTTCTGAGTAAATCTAGTTGTTTCTTAGCCGAGTTTGCGGCTTGTAATTCCGCCAAATGTCTTCTTCTGTAACCGACACGCCCGGCCCCATTCTCTACACCGAACAACCCCTCAAAGCTCCCAGTATCACGACATCTCGAAGCTCATATTTTACGCTCGGTTGGCACCTCGAATGCTGGTGAACTTGATGGGCCTCTCCCTTCGTTGACGCCACTGCCCGCTTCCAACCTCGCCCTGCTGGCCCTTTTGCAGCTTTGGGACAACGAACCCAAGCCCGATGTAGATGATGACAACCAGAAACTCCTCGACCACAGCCATACCGACAAATACCCCAACGTCACCACCCAAAATTGAGAAGGTCTTGCTGTGGGTAAAGGTAGAGACCGCCGAGTATACAAGGCGAACTAGTATCAAAGGTAGAGCGATGGCAACGCCGGCCGAGATGCTTCGTTCCTTGGAAGGCACGTAGCTCAGGTACCCGAAGGAGAGCAGTAAAATCCCAACGAGTGCGGCAAAGGCGACAATATATAGAATGATTGCGGCCTGACTAACTGAGGAAGGCTGTGGGGTGGTGTCGGTGGTGGATTGAGAGGATCCCCGCTGCACACCACCCACAATGCCGAGGATGAGGCCAATGGTGATAAGTAGCTGGACAAGACGGAAGTGTACCGCTTGTAGGATCGGACCTCTTTCGGTATTGACCCAATCAACCCTTTTAGATGAGATGTTAGACATTAGAGCATGATAATGGGGGCTGGGATGACAAACAATCGAGAGAGAAGTCCTAAGGTAGCAAAGAGCAACGGAGAAAGACCGACAGAGTCAAAGATCAGGTAGGCTTGGATCAGACCTGTAGAAGGGTTGCTGTAGGCCACCAGCTGACAGATTGAACCGACGATGCGTACAAGACAGAGGAGTAGGGTGTAGATCCAGCCAGAAGTTTGCCTGATGCCATGGCGAACGCATATAATGATAGCCAGGACAAATGCAGGAACATAGACGACTAGTTCCACGATGGAGACATAGCCTCGAGAATCAAGATTCATAGCTTGGTTTTCTAACGGGAAAATTTGGGAAATTAAAGAAGTAATGGAAATGAGTATCAGTTGCTATCTTGCAAAATTTATGAGACGCGGATCAGGAAGAGCAACTCTCTATTTATGAGCTTCTAATTCTCTGTCTTCACCATCAAGTTTCCGCTATCATTCGTAAGAGGAAGTCGAGAGGCTAAGCTGCTTTGAGGGGGCATTTCGACGCTAGCTGTGTAATTTTCCGTAGGGCTGGGAGAAGACATCGCCACGAAGCCTCCCTCAGCCACGTCGCGGCCCTGCCTTGATGTACGAATGCGAAGCTGACCTGGATGCCACCCAAGACAGTTTGTCGACGCGTTTTCTCTGGAACAGAAGATAATTTCATGTCCCAATTGGATCACTGGATGCACAGTACCGGCAACGCATTTGATAAAGCATATATCCCCGGGATCTTCTAACAGAGTGTGGTCTTAGAACTGTCACCAAAATGCCAGCGGTAAAAGAGATAATATTTTTATCTACGCATTCTATGGATGATAAGCAGCACATCATCTAGATGGTGTATTGAATTCCGATCTTAGTTGACATCACCGTGTGCCATGAGAACTTGATTGGCCAGGCATATGAAGTCCGATATATAACAAGGGGCGCCCTACTGTCTCAACAATGGGCACTGCCACACACTTGAAAAAACGGCCGAGGGCCTTAGGACCAGTAGATAACGCTCATCTCCCCAAATGTCAGCCACTGATCAGCACCATGCCTCTTTTGGTGGGCATTTCGACGCTATTATGCAGTCCCGGAAGAACGGCATCGGCGCCACACGGGCACTTACGCCAGCCCTACGTGATCATTGTCAGCTTCCTTCGAGTGCAGAATGTTCCGTCTCTAGATAATGAGACCTACAATTCGTCATCAATCGTCTTGCGCTATATCCTGCATTCAACCGGCTAGGATGGTGTTTAGTGGACGGCCCTCGGCTGCTTGCCAGCCATGTCGACTCTCCAGGCTCAAGGTAAGGTGCCGATCCGGCGTTGTCCAACACTGATGGGCTTGACACGTTTGAAAGTCACACAACGAGTCACTTTGATGTCTTCTGTTATTCAGTTTAGCTTTGCTAAAACTGGCCATCGTGTAGTGCGACCAAAACACTCCCACCTGCACCCAATGCATCCGCAAGAGGATACCCTGCTCGGGATACAGAGATGTATCCGCACCTCGTTGGAGAGATGAGACAAGCCGTGTTGGCCGTAAGGTTCAACGCGCCAAGCAAAAGGGGTCTCGTTCGGTGCTGGACTCCTCTACTCGCTCTAATGTCCGAATACAAGACACTAAGATGGGTGTAGCGAGCCATTGGCAGCAGGGTGGCTCGTCTCATTCCCCTGTAGCTCTCCCACCGCAACATTTGAAGGATGTTGCGTTGGATTTCTTCATGTGTTCTTTCATCTACGCATCTCCATTTGAGCCTTACTTGCCACAGCTCTATGGTATGAATCATTCCACACAGGCAGTCTTGCCAGCCATTCACGCCGCAGCTTTTGCCACCTTTGCGCAACGCACACGAGATGAGAATCTCATGAAAAAGGCGCGGGCCAATTATGCCACCGCTCTTCTGCATACAAACAAGTCTCTCTCTTCGCCCAGGAGTTCACTTCTGGACGAGACATTGATCTCCGTGCTTCTGTTAGGACTTTTTGAGGCTGTGGTCTTCAAAGGGGGCCAGTCACCCGAGAGCTGGACTGCACATACGCTGGGTGCCGTCCAACTACTACGGTTGCGAGGAGCAGACCAGTTTCGTTCCAAGACGGCCCGTCAGCTTTTTACACAGACAATCACCAACATACGCACAAGCTGCATCCAGAGAAGAGTTGCCGTACCGCAGGAGTTCCTCGATCTGGTGAAGGAGGCTTCCCCCTTCCTAGATCCTGGGCACCCTTGCATTCAGATCGGACCTATTCTAGACCAAGCAGCAAGTTTGAGGTCGCGGGTCGCGGCGGGTACAGTCGATGTGGTACATGCTGCCTTGGAGGTAGATCAGGGAGCGATTGCCCTCTGTGAGCTCATCGAACCCAATATGAGGTTTACGCCAAGGTCTTCGGAAATGTCATCCAGGTGGGCATACCTCACAGTGGAATACAACTATTTGACTCGTCGCCACGCCAAAGTTTGGAATACGATACGAATGATCCGCATGTTCATGAACAAGACCATCTGGGTACACTCCAGTCTCAGCCTTCAACACACATTCCAGCCTGGGGAAACAGAATATTGCAGCGCTTTACATTCATACGAAGAGCTGTTGGAGTTGCGCAACATGGCAGCCGATAACTTGCTTGAGCTTGAGACTGACATTCTCCGCAGCGTGTCTTGCTTTCTAGAGCCAGAGAACCTCGGGGGCAAATTCTGCAGCTCAGCAAGATGCTTGATCTGGCCTTTGACGGTACTCTCACAGTCAGAACTTGTCAGCCCCTCTGCTAGGAAGCATGCTGTTTCATGCCTGTATCAGATAGGCGAAGATTTGAATATGGAGCAGGCGATCGCCGCGGCTAAGATGACGCAGGAAATGAACCACCACGAAGATTGGTATGTGGAAATCTCATCAAGATGTTACGTTACTAACGAGGTGCTGCTCATAGGTTGCACATCTACCACCTCTGATACTTGGAATATTTACAACCGGTGCGAATGAGTGTCAAAAGTTTATGTATCGACTTGAAATCCGACCAATTGAATTTTATTTGAGAGTGGTGGACAGCGATAAGAGAAAATTCGGAGCATCAAATTGTGTTATGGTTAAGATCGTCAATTGTATTTTCATACTTCTATGCGTAAACCTAATCACGCACAGCGAGATGCTATCCTCACACAAATTAACTCACGAGAGCCTCAAATCGCCGGCAACTTGGTCCTTGTCTCCAATATCTCCGGGACCTTGAGCTACTCTCTCTCGCTCCTTGTCTGCCATGTCTTGAACCCATTTTAGATCTCGGAAATGCTGATCTGATGGCTGGTACTTCCAATAACCCTCATTTGTGTCCCAAAGGCGATTAGGCAGATAAGTCTGCAGTCCGTAATATGTGTCCCGGGTTATCGGGAACTCGTAGCTTGGACTACCAGACCGAGCACAAAATTCATCCGTTTCCCGATAAACATCCTCATCATCAAGCTCAAAGTCGGGTACCTCTCCTTTGGTTGCATATCGCCGGATGCCGAAAATAGTTGTCTGCAGGTGACGCTGGAGGATCAAGGCATACCACAAAGGCGACGTAAGAGCCCTGCGGACCACGGCTGCGTGGTTTTCGACCAGCTCCACGTTCCATGGAGGATTCTCCCCTCGAGGGATCGTGGGGATAGGCTGGCGTTTGGATAGAGCAGTCGTCGTCCAGTAGGCCAAGTCGATGATCAGACACAGATTGTTCCAGGCCATGATGCAGGTAATACAGGAACACAGTAGGGCTGGATCATGATGTGCAACGTGCGAGTACGGTTTACGATGGATCGAGAGAAGATTTTGGCGGCGCTGGTGAAGGAGGGCAGGGTGATAGAAAGGATCAACATCTTTCAGTTGGATAGGTCGAGGGAAACACCGGGAAAGAACAGAGTACCGGTGAGAAATGACTGTCTTGACGAGCGAGATCTCATGATGGTGGACGAATGCGTGTGAGAATTTGCATGTTTGTTGAAACCGTATGATATCTGTCGGCTTAAGCTGTGAGAGAATATCGAGGAGGAGCTCCGGAGTTAGTGATAATAGCTGAGGCTTGGAGGCTTCCTTCTTGGCCTTGCGGTCCAGCTTCCGCTTCAGACGGCTGGTTTTCCTGGACCGGAGGGCGAGATCTTGAGTATAGTCGACCAGGACATCATCATCAGACTCATGATCAATCATAGGCGTCAAGTTTGGCGTCTTTGCTGATGAATTCGACTTCATCTTTTACTGTCCCGTTAATTCGATAGTGTTAGGCTTCAAGTTGGGGTAATCATCATTGATTTCTGCAAAATTATGATTCAAGTCGCCGCTCTGACTAATAATTGTGGTGATTATATAATCGAGCAACCGCCCAAACCACCAACACTCTTGAGTTCATATTCACATTTTAATATCAACATAGAAAATGTGATTATTCATGGTCGGCAGTTTTTAAAATGTCCCGCGGAATTGTACGATTCACCAATTTCACAGAGCTGGATGGTCGAAGAAGTCTTCCTCGGGCTTACGGCGAGTTCGAGTGAAAAGCCACAAAGTTGGGCAATCGCAATCATAAAAAAAGGTGAGAAAAATGATAGCTGGAGAATTTCAAAATACGCACATCGAAAGTATTTTGATGATCAATAATCGGGGGGCGGGGAGTAGGCATGTGTCGAAAGTTCAAAGCAATAGCCCTGAACGAAAGATTTTGTTGAGATTGAGTGTTGTCCAACGGCAGAGGAGTACAGAGTAATAGTTATACGGGTATATTCTTTATGTAAATAGTGAACTCAATGAAAAATACGTCTTGATATAATAATCAACCGGCTTCACCACTCGAAAGCCAAACTATTATTCGTTATCCATGATCTTTATATATCTCCTTCGTCTTTATGCCCAGTGAGATGCAAACTGCTTGATGTACTGTTCTATCGAGGAAAGTGCATCCAATTCTTCGTTCTCCCTCTTGATCTCCATGACCCTCTCCTTGAATTTGCTGTCGGCAAAAACCTTGCTGACAGCATCAGCGACCTGCTCCTTGGATGGAGATCCTGTCCGGAGGTTCACAGCGACACCAGCATGTTCACCACGGGCACTGACTTCGGGCTTATCTTCAGTTCCACCTCCGAGCACCATTGGTACACCGTTGGTCACGCCATGAATAAATCCACCATAGCCGGCATTCATGACAAAGACGTCAGTGTGCTCAAGGATGGCATCGTAGGGGAAGTAGTCCACCACTCGGGCATTGGAAGGGACCTTGTAATCGGCAGGTAGCGAGGCACCCTTGGCACCTAGAACGGCGACGGTCAAGACATCATCCCTCTCGGCCATAGCATCCAGAGTCGGGATGACCAGGTTGCTGTAATCGAGTACGACAGTTCCCTGGGTCACCGTAACGATCTTCTTATCCCCTCGCGTCACATCGTCCCACCAGCTTGGGTACGTGATGCCGCCCTTGACAGGCACTCGAGGCAAGGCGCCCACAAATTTGACCTTGGGATGGAAATCGCAGCGCTCATACTCGAGGCTTTTGGGGCACAGTTGGAGTGAGACATCGGGGAGAGTCACCCATTTCTCAAATGGCAGCAAGTGAGCGCCAGGGTCGTTCTTGATACCCAATGATGCGTTGATCTCCTTCTCATAGGCCAGGATATCGCCCCATACGGCCTCGGCGCTTCCATCCTTCGCAGCCTTATTGCGAGCACGCCCTTCTTCTGTGTAGTCGGGGGGCAGACCAGGTCCAAATGGTGCCGTGTCAATACTATCTACAATGTAGGTAGCTGCGTGGAGGTTGACAATGCTGGGTCTCTTGGTGAATCCTTCAGGCAAAGGTGCGCCCTGGAGGAGGGGAAGGTGACCGAGGTAGAAAGACTCGGTAAGGATGACAACCTCGTCGTCAGGGTGTTGTTTTCGGACCTTCAAAAGAGTCTTCTTCAGGGTTTCCCACCGACCGGGTGTCGTCCCCACGAATAGTGCCTTCAAGTCAAACTGTAGCCGTGGAATGCCCTCGGGGATCTTCTCGCGCTCGGCAATGATGTCGGCGGTTAACATAGGAGGCGTAGGGACGCATTCCGCACCTATGGCCTCAACCTGTGCTTGGAACTCCTCTCCAGCGATAAAGGTGGCTTGGTAGCCTTTCTGAACGAGTCCTGCAACGACTTTCAGAATTGGAGTGAAGTGGCCAGTGGCTGGGGACGTGCACACGACAAGGTAAGGTTTCCTGGACTGTGCCACCAGACCGTTGACACCCTTGGGCTCATTAAAGTCCCGCTGCGGCTCGGTGTTGATACCCATCTCTGCTAGCTTCTGGAATCGAGAACAGTAAACTAAATTGTATGTTGAAGCTAGACACAAGCAAACATGAATGTTCAGTTCTGAAAACCAGGGAAACACTGGAAGGGCTGAGTCCTCTTATACACAATGACCCATGAAATTACGCGTAACACTCATGACTTCAAGAAGTCAAGGCCATACTCATTCTGGGCATATGGAGCAGGCCGCCAAGCTATCCAGACTGTTTTCTCACCCGCCCTGCAATAGGGCTGTCAACCCATGCTTCTACCACCAATAAGAGCCACAAGAACCACACGGTCATCATTCTGAATGTCAGGGGCCTTGATATGGACTAAGACTGCATCATGGGGGCCAAGTAACGCTAATATTGAACTGCCCATACACTTGAAGATCCATCCGACCTGCCATTTGTGGTAGGGTAAGCCATATCAGAGCCCAATAGATCTGACAGCATACACAGAATGTCACCGCCTTTCAGATTGCATTATCTCAATTTCAGTCTGTTTACTAGACCAGAACATAATAAAACAGGCGGCAGTGCTTGCCGAGGCTCCGCCTGTAATCAATTGTTGTGGATGAAATGCTTTAGCGTAGGCTGAGGTCCACACACTATCGGTGGCTAGGGTTGTTGATCATCAGTCCTCTCAATTCGATCAACAGGTTGTTTGTTCTCGATTGGGGCCTGACACGAATAATCATATCATTGGTGATTTCAACTTCAAGATGCTGGTAGAAAAGCCGCATGTTCAGAATTGGGGCGGCGCAGGATACATACATTCCCCAACTAGGTAGCTAACGGCGGTAAGACGAGGCTTGTTCAAGCCAATGCTCATCTGGTCAGCATCTGGTAAGGCTGGGCTGCCAAGTGCTTACTGGTATTCCACCTTTTCGTAACTAGCAACCGCATCTATTTTGGTCCGAGGCTAAGCCCTTACATCTGACGTTACTCATCGCTTAGCCAACAATCTAGACCTAGTGAGATTTGCCGTTGCCAAGATCTCTCCGACGTCATCTTGGAGCCTTTGACAGAGACGCCAATGGAAAGGGGGTTGGTGTCAGAGAAGATAGGCGATATTAGGGCTGTATTAACGATGAAAGTGTGGCGCAGCTTACTATCGAGACGGGGACCTTTCGACTACCAATTCGTCGCTGTTACTGGTCTTGAGTTTGATCATCTCGTGGGTGTGTAAGATGTAAGCTCGGCTATCGTCGTCTCGCACGTAGAACCAACCCCTGCAATAAAAGGCATCCACAACTTGCCATCTGCAAATTGATTGATTGATCTTTGGAGGGTGCCAAGAGATTGTCAGAAAAACAGCGACCACAGAGTCATCTCGATAGAATAAGTGTGGTAGGCAAATAATAATACTTCCTATTGTGTAAAAAGAAATAATACCGCACGCCCATCAACTCCCCGATAAAGGATGAATATTTCAGATTATAACTTATGAATTTTGTAGCCTATATTAGATAGTTGGGGTATGAAAACACTTTTGTAGACCTCGTTAGTCTAATGCGGATTTGGGGGCTGATTTGAATTACCTGTTTACTTGTCTTTCAACTTCTGAACCTCTTCAGTCTTGGGAGTGCATATTTTACTTCATTTGCTGTGCTCAGACAGGCTGATGCTCAGCATACTCGTGTCCCACGAACCTTTCAGTCTATTGATGTCAAGAAAAAATGAAGTAATGTGAATACAGTATCTACGAACGCAGTTCATATATCCGATGTAAAGTTTGATATCTATTAGATAATTCCCACCAACCTAAGAAATGGGAGGGAGTATAGGGTAACCAAAATTCGGAATTCGGGATCGGGATTTGAGGAGGATTCGGACTCGGGAAATTCTCGGACTCGGACAATTCATCCCTTCAACATGACTTGTCGTGCATTTCCCAACCTTCCGATTACTTCACACTCCGACTGCACGGCAGTCACAAATGCAGTAAAACAATCTTGATTGGAGTAAAATTCCTAACTTACAGCACCCGGCGTCTTTGTCATCATGGTGGATCAGACCGAGTCCGCCGTCCGCCGTCGAAGAAGACCGGCGACGTAAGTCCGAAATCCCGATGAATACTCATGGTCTTCTTCCATACTTACACTCTATAACACTTAGGGCATGCAATTTGTGTAGGAGGAGGAAGCTACGGTGCAACAGAGAACAACCCTGTGGTAACTGTGTAAGGTCTAGAACTGGCGATTGCATCTATCATACTGGGCCGCTCCCGAGGACGAGTCCTCGTCAACAGCGCTTCAATCAGCCTGGTGAGGGTGACTTGGGGTCCGGGTCCGAGAACTCAACCCTAGTTGAGAAAGCGTCAAATAGAAGTGGGAAATTGACGGCCGGGACTTCGTCACCCCATGCACACTCGAAAGACTCACCCTCCTCGGCGGAAGGCTCTGCTCAGGAGCTGGATGATTTGAAGAACAGGATTCGGAAGCTTGAGGATCAGCTAGCCAAGACGTCGATAAGATCACCCACCATAAGATACCCCGGAGGAGAGTCAACGCCCGAGGCAGACACAAGCACGGCGTTACTTGATGGCACCTTTCACTTCCAGCAACAGGCCCATGAGGTAGGCCAGCCTCAAGCGGTCGCTCGAGGCTTCTCCCACAAATCTCGCGTGTTTGGGAAAAGCCACTGGGTTAATAGCATCGCACCGGTAAGATTTTGAGCTCTATGATTATCGGCGCTGAATTTTGTTCGCTCACATTGTCTCCGCAAGATTGGCGATATTTTTATCATGGTCCAGCCTCAGCTCATTGGTGGCGGGACACCAAAGGCTCTGACCACTGTACACAAATGTAAACAACTGGCGAGAGTCATCAAATCACGGTGGTCTCCAAAATGGCCAACTGAATTCACAACCGAACTACCCCGGAAGGACATTGCCGATGACCTTGTTGATTGCTACCTCAGAACCACCGAGACTGTGTATCGGGTCTTACACATACCTAGCTTCAGAAGAGATTACGAATCGCTGTGGATTTCTGACGGTAAGAAAGATACAGGATTTCTGGCCTCGCTAAAGTTGGTCCTTGCTATTGGGGCTGTCACCTATGATGACAAGTTCTCCATGCGCATGTCCGCTCGTCGGTGGATTTACGAGGTACAGACCTGGCTCTCAGAACCAGAATTCAAGTCCAGGTTGGATATCCAGTTTATGCAAACTAGAATCCTATTGCTTCTTGCCCGAGATCTGGTCAAAGTCGGAGGAGACTCAACATGGGTTAGCACCGGCGAGGTTATAAGAACAGCGGTGAGTTTGGGGCTTCACCGGGACCCAAAAAGGCTACCGGCAAAACCCAAACTTGTCTGCGAGATGCGTCGGAGGCTCTGGAACACAGTGCTGGAGATTGATACCCAGACGAGTCTGCACAATGGGAGCATGCACAGCATCTACATGGAGGAATCAGATACGGAGATGCCGGGAAATTTCAACGACGAACAATTATTGCACGAGGGAGCTATTCCGTCGCCCGAAACAGAGTTCACTCAAATGTCCTTCATTCTCATTCTCCGCAAGTCTCTTGAATTGCGTCGTATGATTGTTAGATTTTTGAATAGCATCAACTCTCGAGGGACATATGAAGAGACGCTTCAGCTGGATGCACAACTCAGGAAGATGTATAAAGATCTCTACAAGAACATGCACGGATATACTATAGGAGCATCTCCTAGCATATTCTCGTCGAGCTTTGTCGATCTCCTTTTGCAGCGCTATATCTTAGCCCTTCACGCTCCATATTTCGGACCATCGCTGAGTGAGATAAGATACTCATTCTCAAGGAAGATGGTGATCGAGGTTGGACTTAAGATATGGTGCACGATATACCCAAATTCCGCGACGAGATCTTCTGTTACTGCAGGAGCAGATCTAGCTTCTGGTGCCCATGACTTTTGGCGCTGGGTTACGAGTGGCAGTGGTTTCTTCCGCTATGGTTTCGCGCAGGTGTTAGCCCTCATTGCCATTGAACTCAGAGCTCAGATCCGAGAGCAGGAGTGTCTAGGTCCTGCACCATTGCGGTCTGACCTGATGAACGTCTTGGGGCAAGGACTTGACTGGTGTGTTCGCTGCATCGAACGTGGAGAGACAAATGTGCGAGGATATATGCTGCAGTCTGTGGCGAAAGCTCAGATCGAGGGCCTTCAGCAAGGACGTTCAAATGAGGAAGTAGCAATATCGATGATACTTTCTGCAGAAGAATGCGCAGGGCATGCCCTTGCACTATTGCAGGATACGTTCGCACAGACTCAGGGAGATGAAAACACCAACATCCCGGAACAATTTGCAGCAGTGAACCCCACGTCTGCGACAGGCATCGGTTGGGATTTTGAGGTAAGATACAGTAGAAGACCTTGGTGAACTTGTACTGATACTGTAGTGCAGATGCCAGACGAGATGTTTAATTTCAATATGGATGATCCCACGAGACTGGCTGTTGACGAGGACATGATGGCGAACTCCATGTTTGGGAATTTCTTCCATGACGTCTCCTTCCTGGGCTGAGTGTTGAGAGCTCACCCATCAAGCAACATTGCGCGTTCTTATCATTCAAAGCTGCAATTAGACTGACCCCGGTGAAGGGAAGACTATATTTAATGAATCAGCTGTTGGGCTCTGTCACGAAGTCGCAAGACCAATCTAATCGACGGGTGATCGATCGCCTTCACATGACGCAACATATAAATGACGATCGGGCCTGGAACCCAGTTGAGGTGAACATGCGGAATCTTTAATTGTATTTGTTTTCGCTGGGAAGGTACTTGACTCAGTGGCAGGTACGCTTGAGCCAATCACTGATTATTATTTGATATTAATTGACAGCAGAGTCTTATAAGGGCCAATTGAAATGGGGCCAGTGACGTGGTCCAGTCAGCAACAGGTACAATCGCAATCAGTGTGGAGGGGTGATTGCCGTGATTTTAAACGGTGTCATACCGGTAAATATATATTTGCAATTTAATAGATCCAGGCTCTGACATTGGAATTGGTTGTCTGTCCCTGATCGTGGAATAATGAAGTCACATATCATTTATCTTTCCATGCACGTAGTGGTGGCCAGCCCTAGACACTCACTTGTCTTTCGGGCAATAGTAATTGTTACATCATGAACAGCATCTCTGTGAAATATGAGGACCCCCGAGGAGGCAGCGATATTGTGGCTTGTTCAGCCGCAGCTGGGAATGATTTGTGGGAAGATCTGACTGTCCAAAACGAAGCCAACATGAGTGATGAAACCATCACAAAGCCAAGCGCGGGTCTAAACTTGAGGGAGGGTAAGGGAAACGTTGTTTTTAGTATTATAGAGCCTTAACACATGTCCAGTAGTCTCGCTCGCACAGCCAGTCCGGTGTCCAGGGCTGCTACAGCGTCACACCCTGCCCTAATGTAAATCCTCGCAGAAGACTAGAATGAATCTCAGTGGGGTCAGTACTGGGAAGTTGGGCGCCACTCGCTCACATTGAGGTATTGTTTTCGAGGCTCCCGGACCGACTCGTCGGGCAGCAGTACGCCACGGAAGGCGACGTCATGTCGAAGTATAAGCCTCTCAGAAACAATCCTCGATTGCTCGTTGGGGCCTGGTATCAGCCACGGTCGCCGTCCTTGATTGTGGCATGGAGAAAACGGCGTACTAACGGAGTCCGCGGCACGGGCAGAGAGCGTGTGGAACGGTGAGTGACTAACGTCGATCTTCGGCGTACCCAGGGTCTAGACCATAAGCCGTCCACACCAAAACCCCCGAAGGCCTTGTCCGATGTAGCCAACCACTTTGGAATAATGCGGGTGTTGTAGTTGGGCAACGGGAAATGCGGCATGTATGCAAGCCACTTCCCGAAGTCGCGTGCTACAGGCTTGTCACCTCATCAGATAAATGGTCTTATATCATGGAGACCCTTCTCAATACCTCCTCGTTTACAATCCTTCTCTAGCGCTCCATTGTGCAAGCACTTGTTCCTTTGTGTCGAGAACTTATTTGACGATGGCCACTTCCAGTACAACATCTAGATCTAACGATATGGAGCTGCAACATTTGGATATCGAAGCTACGTTGGCCGTGGGAGAAATGGCCACCAGAACTTCGTCGGCTTCTCTCTCTGCATCCACCGAAACAGCAGTGTCGGATAATATTGCGGCCAATCTCATCGCCCAGGTCACCTCATTTGCTGGGTCTTACGCAAACCTCAATGAACTTTTTGAGAAATCTTGGAATTCCAGGAACAGCGCATTGCCGTCTCAAGCTTCATGGCGAGGTGAATCTGCCGATTTCCCCCAAGGGCATTCATTCTATGCGAGCGACCAGCACGGACGGAGCCATGCATTTTATGACGCCTACAATATGTACAGTCGGACTGCTCATATGGGCATACTCGATCCCAGCTATGACGTCTTTACGAGCGAATACGGGCACGGAGCGCTTATTTACAAAGTGCAGAACCGTACAGCTGTCATCACTGGTGATCCTCTCTGCCCCGTGAGCCACTTTGACCAGTTGTTGAAGGAATTCCAATGCAAGAAACAACTCAAACTGGCATTCATGGGAATTGGACAGCAATTCGCCGAATACGCCGCAGACAAGGGATGGACTACCATGCATTTTGGACGTGAACGTGTCTTGAATCCTTTGACGAACAAGGTTCTCCGTCAACTTTCAGGAAAGCGAATGGTAGCCCAGAGTCGAAGACTATTGGATCCTAAACGCATCGGACTCGTTGCTGATATCTATTGTCCTGGAAGATCCGGCCGTGATTCCACTCTGGAGGCTGAGATTCAGAGTTTGTATGATGCATGGCGCATGGAGCGCAACTCGAAGAATGAGGGCGGAAACCAGGCATTCGTCACGGAGTATGATCTATTCTCGGATCCCGACATAGCCCTTTATCTGTATATTCGAGATCGAGAAGGTTCCGTGGTTGGTCTAGCGGTGCTTCGAAGTCTTGGGGCCACCTGCGGTTTTCATCTCGACCCTTGCATAGCCTCCCCTACCGCCCCTTCTGGCGTTACCGACCTTCTCCCCATTCTCTCCATGATCCTACTCCGAGGCACTGGAATCGCATATCTCAGCTTTGGGTACGAGCCCTTTCCTGAGATATGTGACATATCAGGACAGCGGAAGTTGAAGGCTTCTTTGACACGCTGGGGTTACCGCCGCGTTCTTGAGACGGTGAACGTGGGCGGTAAGGTCTCCTATCACGACAAGTTCCACCCCGATGAGAACTTAGAATCAGACCTATACACGGTTATTCCGAAAGGGTCTCTTCAAGTTCAACAATCAGCTGCAATAATGCATGTGGCCAACATCAAACTTCGACGCCTTCTCCTCTCTAATCACCGTCAAACAGTCAGTTGAGGGAGGAAAAAGAGTGAGACCAGACCAATGATGGTCTTTGTGTTCAAGGATCAATTTTCGAAGCGGGTTAATATATGCATACCGATTTACAGCTTTGTTTTTGTAGCATATTTGGGATACAAAATGTACAGTATGATGATATTTCTTATACTCTATTAGGATATAGGTTGATAATAAGGAATCAATGAAGAGCATAACGAATCTCCTATACAAACAGCAGACCACTTGTTTGAAATCTCGCCCAATGCGTTGGAACTAGTAATCGGTAGAAGAGCCACGCACTTTAACCTATTGGACTAATTTGAATTGGATTTAGGATCAATCATTTGCTGGTATTTGAAGCATTTCCCTATATTTTTAGCGGTTATGTAGTTCTGCTTTCCATCTCGAACGTAGGCGATTGATGACGAACCTAGTATAATATAGGTCTGAACGAGGATAGATATATGAATCAAGAAGGCAAGCCGAATAGATAGACGTCGGAGTATTTGGGAATGGTTGTCTGGATGATGCTAATCCCTGTCTCAGTGATTAGGCAGAACAGGCAGCAGTTAGGCCTGACCAGTGACCAGTAATGAAAGGAGGAGGAGGGTCAAAAACAGACGGTCGGGCCGCTAGGCTCAGTTAGTCATCACCTAAACAGCCCATAAATATCAATACCAGTCAAATTAATTCAGCTGAAGGATTTCGACGGTCTTTCATATTCATCCGAAATTCTTCAAACTTTTATCGCTTGAATACTACTTAACTCCTCCTGGGTACCTGTGAGTGTGCGCTAGCCCTTCAAACACCATGGCAGCCTCGACACACGGCCATCCTGCAATCCCCGTCGAGCTTTGGGTGGCCGTTGCAGCGCACGTCATCGAGTTTGCCGACTTGGCTGCTCTGGCGAGGACCTCAAGCCCGCTGCACAACGCAGTCATCCCGGTCCTGTACGCCCGTGCACTGTCCTCACTGCGAAGCGAGCGGGCGTTGTTCTGGGGAGTGCTCAACGGATTCCCCCGCACAGTCGAAGCGGCTCTCGATGCAGGCATCGACGTGAACTTGACGTGGCATTCCCTGCTCCGTGCCAGCAGGCTCGAATCCGTCTTCTCCAACCCCGAGGGTGCCGATGTGAAGGGTTTCCTGGATGCGGTAGATCGCCGCGGCGCCGCCAAGCCAGGCGAACCGAAATGGCACTGGTCGGCGTTGCATCTCGCAGCCATGAAGGGCAAGGCTGAGATTGTCGAGTTGCTGCTCCAGCGCAATGCCAAGATGAGCACAGGCAGTTTGGGACTCTGTGCCTGCGAAATGCGACCGCGGACTGTCGGGGAAAGACCCCGACACTCAGAAGAGCACCCGCCTGCCCTCTGGACTCCGTACCATGTTGCTGTTTGTGCAGGACAAGTCCCTGCGGCGAACCTCCTGATCTCCAACGGAGCCTCTGTTAACATGGAAACTCCTCCCCAGGAGATTTTCGACTGGGAGCCAACAATGATGACTGCACTTCATGTTGCATCCAAGTCTGGCAACGAAGACATGCTAAACTGGCTGTTGAGCAAGGGCCATACTGAGGGCGGTGTTGAATCCGTCGACAGTCTTGGGCAGACTCCGCTCGTGTATGCATACCTATATCAGAACTGGGGTTGCTTTGATATCTTGCTTCAGAATGGGGCCAATAAGAATAAAGTAGTCTCGTTCAATCTCGCTGAAGATCGAGATGATTGGAGGAATGTGACGATGCTTTATGACGCCTTGGCCAGCTTCAGGTTCAAAGATGCCTTGCGTCTTGTTGAATTCGGCGTTGATTTGGTGAAGCCTGCTGATGAAGTGGGAGCCCTTCCTCTTATTCATTTGCTGTGTAAGAAGCCATGGATTGCTTCGTTGGTGAACAACCCCAGTCAAGATTCACAGGAGGATCTGGTACGCAGTGGGGAGGTTCTGCTTCAAGAAGTTCTCAACCGGGGCATGGACCCTAACGAGAGCTATCTCGGATACACGGCACTTGCTTACGCTGCTGGCGCGTGCAATACTTTTGCCGTTCAATGTTTGCTTCACGCTGGTGCGCATATTAACGGTAATCCCGGGGATATGTTCTCGCCATTGGCCACGGCGTGCCAGAATCAATGGCGCAGGCCAATGTTGGAGACTGTGTCCTTGCTCATAGAATCAGGAGCCTCGGTGAATCCGATCGGAGATACAGCCGTGGCACCTACCTGGACACTTTCAGGCCATTACAACAACCCTACCGAGAAGAACAAGGTGCTGGAGCTGTTACTAGACCACGGGGCGCGTATAGCTCGTGGCACATCTTCTGGACAACGATCATTCGTCACTCCTCTCGACGAAGCATTACGATCGAGAGACATGGAAGGCTTTGAGAGACTGTTGTCGCGATGCAAGCCTGAGGAGATTGGCGATGATGATATTGTAGGCTTTTGGGATGCTATCCCCTCTGGCGGGGATGCCGATCACTTCAGACGTGTTCTCGACTTGGACAAAAATCGCGCCATTGTTCGAGACCTGCCGATGGCATTGTCCATGTTGTTTCATCTGAAGCCGATACCAAATGACCTCTTAGTGAGGTTATTGGAAATGGGGGCGAATCCCAACACGGCATTTGGTATGTCGAATCTTATCGACGCCATAATGAGCGAACAAGATACAAGCGCTGTTGTCAAAACGCTGTTGGCGCACGGGGCAAATCCAAATACCAAATGGAATTCTGATACACCACTCACCCACCTACTAGTGCACTCCAACCAACCACTGGAAGCAAAATTGAGCCACGTGGGATGCCTTCTAGATGCGGGCGTCTCGATTTACGAACGGCTGGACCGCTCACCTTCTATTGGCGTTCTCTCTGAAAGGGCGCCGGCGACCCATCTGGCCCTTGCCATCCAAAACATGAACAAGAGCCCGGGACTTGTGGAACTCATGCTGGAGCGACAGCCATTCCGCGATCATCTACAGGTACGACCTTACGAATACATCTACCAGGCATTTGGACTTGGCAATGGCAGAGCGCTCAAAGCTATCATCCGGACTTGTGATGACGCGACATCTCTGATCCGGGAAAATGCGCATGAACTCATGCACCGTCTACTCGATCAGCTGTGTGTTTATCAATTCAGTGTCGAGGACATGATGACAACCGCTGTCTGTTTGCGGGTCCTCATTGAGGAGAGCGAGCTGGATCTGTTCTTGAATGCCCCGGAGCAATCAAACGATAATCGCACCGCTAGAGAGAAACTATTGAGTGCCATGAGGATTCACGACACATGGGGCACACAGAAGGGGATGGGCATGTGCCTCGGTGCTAGGATCCAGTTTTCAGAAGAGGACACCACACCCACGTTTTTGGAGCCTGGAGCGTTGGTATTTGACAATTCTACGCCATTATCTGTATTAGGGAAACTTTCTGAGGAACAATGAGCAAATGTACAAATTAAGATCAAGAAAAAATTATCTGATGGGACGTTGGAAATGTGGGTATAAGGGACTTAGATAGTTTAGCATAGAATAGATAATAAATACAAACAACCCTCATAATCCCAACGATGATGTGGTTTTTTTTTTCATTCTGAGAATTGAGAGAGGACAAACCAAAGGACATGTCTGTATCTTGAAAGACTGTTGGACCCAGGCAGGGAAAAGGGGGGGCTGCGAGACGTGTGTGATGAACAAAAAAAGGAGGCCACAGGATTTCATGGCCATCACCAGTGAGGCATTGAAACATCGCTGCTCTAAATATGTATTGTAATGCTGCATTCTAGACGCTTATGAATTTTATGATATGCAAGGGAAAAAGAACTGAGAACGGATGCAACCGAGTGGAGAACGGTAAATGTACACTTAGAAGAGGAAGTAGATGAGACGCTTCCAGGCGGGATAAGAGGCAATCAATGCCTTCTCTTCGCGGATCGCTTCCCAGTCATGCTCACGACGTCCAGTGTCGATGTCAATGTCGTCCAGCTTCAGCCAGCCTTCCCTCTTCCACAGATAACCGATAGCCCACAGCGCCAGCATGATGGGGAAGCCAAGGTAGGACTTGAAGAAGTCCTCGGCTGTACCAACTCCCGACTCTCCCGGAGGCGCAGCGATGGCAGTGTAGAACTGTTTGGCCTATGGTTAGCAAAATTCTGTACATGTGGGAAGCAGCCGTAAAACATACCTGAGCAATCAGAATAAGGATGATGAAGAACAATCCTAGCCAAGATCCATAAACTCCCCCAATAGCCTTGAAAGGGATCTCATCCAGTGTGTGGCCCTGATGTTTCCAAGCGGAACGGAACCGAATGTGAGCAAGACAGATGGAGCCCCACGAGAACAATGTAGCAAGACCGGAGAGGGCTTGAAGCCACTCGAAAATGACATCACCGCTAGCCGACAAGTTGAGATAGGCCAGGAAGCCGAAGGCAATGATGAGAGCGACTGATGGGAGGGGTCGTCCGGCGCGATCGATGTATGTGAAGATCTTGAGGCCGTATCCCTGCTGACTGACAGCGGTGACGGTTCTAGATCCGCCGTAGACGGAGGCAATGCCGATGGAGAGAACCGATGATAAAATCACCACGTTCATGTAGTGATCGAAGCCATTGAGCCCGGCATACTTGGCGACGAGAACGAAAGGCGACGCCTTGGAGCTGTTGGAGCTGGAAGAAAGCAGTGCGTCGTCATTGGGGTCAATCAAGAGACCGATGAAAAAGAGACCGATGATGTAGAAGAGGGAGATTCGCCAGAAAACCTGCTTGATCGCACCGGGTACTGACTTTGCTGGGTTTCGCGACTCGGCAGCGGCGAGACCGACAAGCTCCGTGCCGGCAAACGAGAAGGCCGCGGTAACAAAGACGGAACAGAAACCCTTGAAGCCGTTCTTGAAAACATCAGGACCAGTCCAGTTCCGGGTGCCCCAGTATTCGCTGTACCGGCCGTTGGAGGGGCCACCGCCGCAGACGAGGACGAGTGCGACGATGATGAAGATGGAGGTTGACGCGAGCTTGAATGAGGCGGCCCAGAATTCTTCTTCAGCGTAACCGATACTGCCGAAAATATTGAGTATAACGATGGCGATGAGGAAAACCGTGATCCACACGCCAGGGGAGGTGTTTTCATCCCAGTAGGAGATCGTGACGGCTGAGTGTACCTAATTAGACACTGACGAGATAATCAAGAACAAAGATGACGTCTTCTCACCGCACACAGTCAATTCCAGGGGCAGGGTGACAGCCCACTGGAAAGCATAATTCCAGGCCATGGCAAAGCCAAATGAAGGGTCGACGAAACGGGATGAGTAGGCGTAGAAACCGCCGGAAACGGGGTACATGACGGCAAGCTCGCCAAGGGCGTAGACTGCCGACGTATGTTGTTAGTCTACCATTCTGGATGCAGTGATTTGATACTAGAGCGATGATGAGAGATCATAGTATGGTATTTTGCCATATCACGTACCGACGTTGAACACCATGATACTGATGATCAGGAAGTCGACAAAGAGGGAGCCGGGGCCCTGGTTCACGTTAGCGAAGGAACTCTGCGACATGGTCTCATAGTGACACATAACATACACCCTTGCTGAGCGCACTGCCAGATCCGACGTAGAATCCTGCACCAATGGAACCGCCAATGGCAATCATATTAAGATGCCTGGGCGACATCTTGCGGTCCAGCTCGACGAGTCCATAGCCGTAGTGTTTCTTGGTGAAGGACTCGGCGTTGAGGCCCGTCCGGGTCATGAAGCTCTCCTTCTCGAACGCGTAGCCAGCTCCATCGCTCTGGGCTCCAATGGAAGGCGGTTTGGCCTTCTCCTCATCGTGGATTTTGGGAACAGCCTGCTTCTCGCTCGAATCGGCCGACGATATCGGCAGATCGGGATTCATGGTGGTGGCGAGTTGTCGATTCTGACGAAATACAATACCCACGGGGCAGCAGACAAGGAGCGAGCAAGCTGGTCGGTCCTACTTATTGGGACGGCACACAGTCTACTAAAGTAAAACAATTTTCAAGCTTGGATGGCCTGGATTTCCCCATCCGGCTCGACTCAGGCTGTGGGCACCATGGCAGTATTAATAACAGAATTGCCTGCCTTAGCCTGCCCCTTCATGATCCAGGACCGGTTCGAAGGGAGTTTTACGTAAATGGCTCCGTGGGGAAATAACGCGGTCATGGTCCATCCCAGCAATGGATGAATCGTATTTGCAACTGCGCGGCGACTAGAGGCATTTTCATTTTTCACCGTCATCTCCACCAGGCCCGAGCGAGGCATCCACTTTCAGCCGTCCAAACCCGCCCGGGAGAGGCTAACAAAGGCCATCACTGGATCGCGTCGAGCCAGTAGACTGTGTGCGGTGCCTGGCAGCGCCGAGTCAGGCCTCTGCGCGCTGTGTCAGAGAGCAGCCTCGCCGAAAACCCGCGCCATCACCACATTACCCACAGATCGAGCTATCACGCGCTCCATAATGAGTCCACAGGGAGGGCACGGACGGGGGCGAAATGGATGATTTTGCCATCGCTGCATTGGCTCCTGGGGAATCAATTATACATACTGATTATTCCCATTTCTGAGCGTTTTCATCCAGATAAGCTCGCCCCGGAAAAAAAAATTTAACTGCCACGCCATTTCCGGCTGTCTCACCTTCAATCTCACGGGCCGTCTTTGCCTGGTGCCGAGAAGAGTCACGGCATGTGTTTGAGCCAAGCGAAAATCACCAGACAACGGGATCGTCGGGCGGATCGGTCATTATTTAGCATGATTATGCTGCCCAAGGATGGTCCTGTTACCAGTTTTAGCCGTCAATCAAGCCTAATCTGTCCATTTTGCTGACATTTGATTCCATAACGTTGATACCACAGTTCACTGTGACTTTCACATGCAACAATACACACAATTATCCATATCCTACCCAACTTATACAAAACCTCTGCCGAGAGTAGTTCACTGTATAATCATGAATTGTTTATTCTGCCATATTTAACACTAGACACATACGAGGCAGAGTTCACTTGCTCAGCACATGTACCCAGTAATAGAGGTTTTCTCGGAACATCGGGAACTGAAACTATGACGGATGATAGGATGCATACCCAATCGCATTTGATGAACATATCTACAAATGGTCTAATTACCTAGCACCACGGTTTCAGTCAATATCATGACTACTACCCCGACTTCAAGATATGCCCCGTCTGGGGCAGCGTGTTATGCTTATCTTCCTTGACTAATGGAAAACAAGGACTTGCGGTTCACAATACGTAAAAATTGACAACCAAATTGATAGCCGACAAGATGTCCCATGCTATGGACAAACACCAGGCCTGTCCAAGTTCTGGGGGTAAAAACGGAGTGTGTATTTGCAAACCGCGTCGACCCACAACTTGTACGTAATAGTTTCGCTCCAGCAGATGACTCTTGCCGACGCATCCAGCAGGCAACGCAGCGTTGGAGTGCAATCCCAGCATACAGATTCTCATGATTCGGGTGGCATGATGTGAGCTTTCAAATGTTGTCGTGGTTGTATATGTTGTCGGAATCTCTTGCACCAAGAGTTGGCCCCTATTCGTCACACTATTCCGAAGTGAGCAAGTAAATGACAATAAACCCACTCTGCCTATCCAGGAAATGTGTCATAATATGCGTAGCCTGTAGACCCTCCCCCGCAAGGTCCACGCGGATTCGATCCTCGACGTGCTCTGAAGCCCTCCGCAGGCTTCTGCATCTCCAGACTCCCCGCACCCCAGGCTTAATGGACGATGGAGAGAGTTTCAATTTGTCACAGGTATTTCCTCTTTGAGTTGTAGACTCGATCTTCTGGTTGCCTCGAGCCCGAGACCCCGAGTTTCGTGGCTTAGCGAGAACTTTGGGTCCTCCGTTTGTGTTGCTGGAGCAAGATGTTCAAAACATTGCGTCAGAACTAGTAATTAGTAATTACATATATGTACTATGTCAAAATTAGAAAGTAAACTACAGAAATTCTAAATTTGGAAGCTCTCTTAGCCCGTTCGTCTTATTGTTGAGCCTTTCATGTTATTAGAAACAGAGACTCACTATTCAAAGAGGGAGGTAAGACTGAGGGAGCCATCCCGAATCAACCGGTAGCACCTCGAAGTTTCTAGGAGGGAGAAATTCCACATGAAAAAAGGATATTCTCCCGGAACATAGCCTCTGAAGAACATGAGAGACCATCTACACATAGATTGCAGACCCATCACAGTCTCACATGTTAGAATTCCCAACGTCCTTGCTGAGTGTGCTACTGCTCGTATCTAAGGGCAGACAAAGACTGTGCCTGCATAAACACCTTCATTAACTCATTTCAAAAAGACACCGTCAATTGGGAACTAGCCTCTCCCCAACTGGTGACCAGATCGCCTCATATTTGGATCCACTGTCAAGAAGGGGTGATGGAGGTCCACGCTCGACACGCAGCTGAGATTCCAGGGCCCTCTGGAGAAGTTTGTGGAGGAACTTCCGGGGAAGTTAGATTTCAATGGATTCGTTTTACTCTAGAAAGGTGGCGGCTGTTTAGTGCCCAATCACGAAGGCTACCAGTCCTCGTTGATCAATGCCACCTACGACGCGTTAACTAACAGGGTGACTCAAGGGGGTCGATTGTGACAAGGGAGCAGCTTTTGCCTTGAATAGCCGACTATTCCTCCACACTTAATGATCAGACAATTTCAAATCAAGCCTTCGTCTACTAGGATATCTCGACGAGAGCTGACTGACTCGTATGAGCTCAGCCCGTCTAACTTCGCTCGGGGAAGACGGTACCAATAACATTGCCCCCATTAGCCAAGCCAACACGCATCTGACCCCGGCCCCCGCGATTACTTCTAAAGTAGTATGGGACAAATGTCAAGTCCCTGTCGACTGAAGGGCGAGCCCCTCCTCCACACTTGGGCACTGATCGAGTCCACCCACTGCCATGTAGCGCGATATACGACTCTCCTGTTTCCGCATCTTTTGTTCTTTCCTCGGTTATGCGTGAATCTGTGGTAATCATTACATCCTTGAAGTGATTTGTCTCCCAGCCGTTGTCCACATCCTCAACACAGTACACGATAGGGCCACGAGCCAGTGTCAAGACGTGTTGCATGCTGTAGGGATGTGGGGAGAGGTAACGAGGAGCAAAGTTCTTGATCTCGAGAGAAAATTCGGTGTTTTCGGATGTATAGGTAGGCGGCAGAATCAAATAGCCTTTCTCGATCTTCAGCCCCGTCTGCTCCGGGGCCGCGGGGATGATCTCGTAACTGCCATGAGCCCAACCAGGAACTCTCAACCGAAGTGTCGTGTCCACTGGCTTAGTAGAGGAGAGCTGGAACCGGATGTTCCCTTCCCATGGCCAATTCGACTCTTGAAGAAGAGTAACCGAGGTCTCATCCCCAACTGCGAAGCTCACCTGAGCGCTCGAGTAGAGGTGAACATTAACATAGGCACCTCCGTCACCTGAGCCATAATCCCACAGATAGCCCCCGATGCTTCCGTACAGCCTCGTGAGGTTAGGTGGACAGCAAGCGCACCAGAACCAGTCGCTCCTCTCGCTCCTGTCCTTGTCCGAACTAGCCAGTTGGTTCACGTAGGTAAACTTGGTACCGTCGGTGCTCATCGAGGTCATGACGTTGTTGTACAGACAAAGCTCCATGATGTCGCCATAGTGCCCATCAAGATCGATGTGCAGCAGTCTCTCTGCGAGCATCATGACGGCGATGGATGCGCAGGTTTCGGCATAGCATCCTCCCTCATCTGTTCCTTGAGGGAGAAAATAATCGATCCCAAACCCTTCCCATTGCTTGATTGCGCCAATTCCTCCAGTGACATACATTCTCTTATCTACCATGTTGTTCCAGAGCTGGTCCAGGGCTTTTGTCCAACTCTTGTGAGCTTCTTCGCCCAGTGGTTTATCACCCGAGTCTGAGAGGCAGACTAGATCTGCGACGGCCGTGAGGAGGTACATGGCTCTGACACTATGTCCTTCCATGGTGGTCTGCTCTGTTATGGGAAGATGAGCCTGGCAGTACCAATAGGACCGATTCTCGGGAAAGGTATCTGGCCTCGTATATTGGCTTTCGCCTCTCTGGTCTGTCTCCCAATCGTAATAATGTTTCCCATCTTGTCCCTCGGGGTTGCCGCGCTCGGTCAGAAAGTAATGGGCTAGCTCATACGCCTCAGAACTCCCGGTAACGGCCGCATACCGGAGGAGGGCAAGCTCAATCTCTGGATGGCCAGGATAGCCCCTCACCTGACCTTGCGCAGCTCCAAAACGCTTTCTGATGAGTGAGATGTATTTCTCTACTGGTGCTTTGAGTTGGTCATTCTTGTAGAAGAGGTGATGAGCTACTGCTGCTTCGATGAGATGACCCGCATTGTATCTGAGAAACACGATGTTATAAATGGCGCGTTTATAACTTCCTTGGGGTAGTCGATTGAACTCACAGCTCGTGCATGTCACGCAGATTTGACCACCTTTTTGTAGGCTCAACAACAGTGTAATGGACATTCAAATATCCATCCTCTTGCTGGGCACCCCTGATCATTTCCACAAGCTCTTGAACAGCAGCATCAATGCCAGCATCGTAGCTTTCCGAAAGGAAATAGCAGGCCCCTTCGATCCATTTGGCCACATCACTGTCCCAGAAAAGATGAAATGGCACCGGCCACATAGACTTGTCATCATAAATAGGATGCCATTTAAGCTTGAAGCAGTCGTACCGCCCGGTGGACTTTAGCTGGTCAAGCTGTGCTTGAAGCGTCTTGCTGGACACTGTCGCCCTACGAGTAGACAGAAGGGTCTTTCCGGTAAAGGTCGTGTCCTTGAAAGTAACCTGTGGGTGTGACATTTTGATCGGATTGATGTATGCCTGTTTAGCCTCTAGCCCTTAGAGTCTTGGATTGCCCAGTCACAATTATTGCAGGGATCGTCAAGAGTGTATGAATACAGGTGTGGAAGGATTGGTCACGGTTAATTTGTCCTTTATGCCGCTTCGACATCTCCCGAGTCACGGGAAACTCGGTATCAATAGTTGCGAGTTGAACAGATTGGACCAGGTGCTGGCCTTTTGACCGTTGTTTGGTGGGAGTATTGTTAAGCGACACCAGGGATGCGTCGTCCATCCCGAGGCGATCATTGGTCCTCCCACCGGAAATCCACACACAGGGTGATCCCACTCTCATCCCGCACGTTATCCTACCTCGCAAGCCAGACAACCTCCGTGTCAATAGATTGGTGGAACGGTCTCCGAACTCGATGTAGTCTAGGCTCGGATCATCATCTCCAGCGGTGGCGAGACGGCACATCATCCACACCCCAGCACCAGCTTCCCACCAGTTAGTGGTGGTCGAAGCATGCTCAAGGGTATCACTTCTCAAAGAATATAGCGAAAATTACATATTGGAGGAGTATTCTGTTCCTAAGAGAGATTCCGTATTACTAGTACACTCAACATGTTTCAGTATCCGCTTTCAAGCACCCCTCCCGAGCATAACACGCTCTGCCTTCTGGAGGATATCGACATAATCACGATCACGGCCCCAAGCAAATGCCACAGATTCCAGAATACGTAGGCCATGCCTCAATATCTTGGCGGGGCTCTTTGTCTCGTAGATGTCTCCCACGCCAGAAATATAAGCCTTCATATTGACCGGGCGTCCAGACCGGACAAAGTATTGCACCATCTCGTCGTCATTCGGGCGGTCTAGCCATATGAATCCCGGGTTCTCGATTCCATCAATGTCCAGATCATTGTCTTCCTCTTCTAATGAGGCAGCACTAGCACCTTGACAGTCTTCCTCATCCTCACTCATTTGGCCGGGCTCCTCCGGCCTGGGCATGGTTGTCTGTGATATGTAATAGCTGTACGCCCAGAGCGTCAACGTCGCATGGAACACTGATTGTGTTTCATAGAATGCCATATTGGAGAACCGACGCAGGTGCCAGAAGACGCATCCACAGTGAATAGCTGCCAGTCGGGCCTTGGACTATGCTCAGCCGGCCCAATTAACACACGAGCCCTTTTTAGGTACACATGATGAACGGTCACTTACCTCATCGCGGTGTGCCCACCGAATGACCTCTTGTTCCGCCATATAGACATTGGCGGGGTTAGTCTGGTGGGATATATCCCCAGCATCCTTTGTGATAGACAGCAGCAAGATGAGAATTTCCTTGACGGGAACCAAGAGCACGACGCGTGAGAAGTGCAAGTGATGAATCGTCGGATGTTCCGTTCCAGACTGCAGGGCTATCACTCCGTTGGCCCACCAATGCAACTCATCCACACAATCCAGGGCAGCATTTCTCCAAGCGGCAAACGTGGCCGTCTCGCTGAGCCACTGGTCCGCACCAACCAGCTCAGAAGAGCTGCTAGGGCTGCTTGCGAGATTTGAGACGCTTGGTTCCTGTTGGGCAGTGGGGATCCAATTCGAAAGCGGCCGCTGGAAATAGGCCTTGACTTGGAAGATCTCATGATAGATTCCATGGAGCAGCAGTATTCGGCCAAACTCGCCTAGGTCTGGCTTTACTTTCTTCCGCAGGAAAATACTCTTGATCGCGTTGGGCAGAGGAGGGTTCCCTACAATGAAGTCAGCTAGAAGCACGGGTCAGCATTGTGAGGAAGAGCATGCTTACGCCTTGTTCGCTCAAAAAGCTCCAACCATTCATGTTCATTTGGAGCCGTCCACAAGCCGTCATGCGGTAGGTCAGCTTCTGGAACTCGATGGGACATCAGCGGTGGGATATCGAAATGGTAAAAGACCATCAGGTCAAGCATCTGCTCTAGTTAGCAAGTGTGTACAGACCGGCTAGGTGGTGAATACCAACCCAAATAGAATAGCCCAGGCGACGTTTTGTTTCCAACAGAATCCACTGCTGCCATTGGCTGTGTGCATTATTTTCTGCCGCATCACTCCCATCATGAGCCTGTCTTGTTTCTGCAGTAAACAGTCCCAAAGTCTCGGCGAGTTGGACCAACAGACCACGATGGATTAGAGCCTGCCTTCGCATGGTCATGTCGCCGTGATAAAAGTAAGAGATTTGACTTAAAAACAAAGCCTTGAGGTAGTGAATTTGAGCTTGGGGATCATCTTGAGATAAATCCATCTCTCTTTGCAGCCCTCTACGGAGGAATTCATGAAGAGGGGCCACCATAGATTCGAATTCTTGCGTCCGAGTGTACTGGCAACCAATGGCGGCCATAGCCAAGGTCAGAAGCCAAAACTCATTAACATTGCGTGTGATGTGGTGTGAAATGGGCAGTGCTGGTATGAATCGATCGTAAAAGAGATGAAGTAACATATCAACCTGCGAGATGGAGGGGAAGTGTTCCTTTTTGAAGGTCTCGTGGTCCTTGTCACCACGGTTGATACATAAATTCTGGAACTCCTGTACGAGGATCTCATATGTGACGGGCAATATTAGCTCTGGCGTTTCTTTGTCAAGGCTAGCTGAGGGTACAAGATCATGCAGGTCGCACGGGCTAAACTGCTGCAGTGCAGTAGCCTCAGATCGATTCATTCTCGAAATAGTCAACTGGGGATGGGAAGACAGAATGACGGGTAACAGCGCCTTATCTCGTAGAAAGGCTGGGGCCCTTGCACTGCTGCTGGTTGCATAGAGTCTTCCCGGTGGAGTAGCGTCGGACTTGCGGCGGCCAAGGGACTTTCTCGAGCCCGATGAAGTAGTCCCGGGTGACCAGGTTGTTGAAGGTTGCATGGCTCCAACTGGATCGCCTCCCGAAGGGTCCGCCTCCTCCAGAAAGCTCGCAGTTGAGAAATCGAGACTGGTCGTCATAGGCCCGGATGTTGTCATGTCCGGCAGAAGACTCAAATCAAGAATTGAGCTGAATTGCATGTTTGTCTCGTCACTGATTGGCAACCAATTCAAGCCAAGACCAGGGTTTGATTGAAACTGAGCTGCGCGAGAAGACATCAATGTCATATCAGGGTCCACGAATGTCGTGAGTCTTCCATCCGCTGATGCTGACGGTTCAGAATGATTCGGGCGACTCTCAGGGGCGCCTATATCCGCCGGAGTTGCGATGTCCATGCCACCAACATCTGATAATGAATTCTGCCCATAGCTAAAATCATCATGCTCCATTAACAAGCTGGCAGAAGTGCAAGTAGGGTCTGTCACTTCCTCAGCTTGGTTCGGATTATGAAGAGTCCCGGGCTCTGGCAGCTCCTGCGTCCCGCCCTCATCTTTCTTGCTTTTGGCGCTCGATTTCGATGTTTTTACAGCACTTGAATCTATGTACACGCAGCGAATGGACCTCAGACTGCATCTCTCGCACGGGAGGTCCCGTGTACAGCGATCGCGGGCTTGGGCGCAGGGCACACAGGCTCTGGGCTGCCTCGACTGGCGGGAAGCGTCTAGATGCGCCCTTGTTGAAGCACGAGAAGGCACTTTGTGAATGAATTCGTGGCGCGAAAGCACATCACTTCCGTTTCTTAAATTTAGCAATGTCTTGTTTGGAAAGAATTGGGACTTGCAGCATCCAACCTGAGAGAATTACCTTCGTGCGAAACATTTTCCGCATACCGTGCATTCGTATGTCTTGCCAATCAAATGGGACCTCTCATGCCTTCGCAGATGCTCAATTCGCTTGAATTGTTTGGAGCAGGACTCGCACTGGAACCGAAAGCTGTTGCGTTCTGCCAATTGCGACTGACGGGCGGCCAAATGTGCCATCACGAGACGGCCTGCTCAATTATCGGGCATTTGAGGGCACGAATGATGAATAGACTGACTTGGATGGAAGGAGGATGTTCGAATTGCTTAGCTCATTCAAGGGGCCCGTCAGGATGGAACACCCCTCCCAATCATGGGGAGAAACGTGACCACCAGCCCAAGACCTGCGGCTAATTGCAGCTAAGGATTGTTGCCGGTACCTAGCCAGAATTGGTGCAAAAAGATGAGCTCTCCATGTTTCCACTCCCAGAAAAAAGGAAGCTGGTTTATGCAACCTTTCACATGACTCATCCAGCACACTCTCAATATACTTCAGGCAGAGAGGGAAGAGTCACAGTATAGAGGAAGATGATGGAATAAGAGGACATGGGAATTTTACTACTGCCTTGACTACATGTCCCTTACTTTCGTGCACCTTAAACCCCACCTTACAGCACGAGTTGGGACAGGTCATGGGGCGGAGATTGCATACCCTCTCTTCATAGGGCAGGCTTTCAGCTAAACAATAAAGCTCTACATCATGAATGAAAATGGGGTAACAGCAGGGTCCTCGCTGTCAATTCATGTGATTCCCCACGGGGACGGGGTTGTCCCACAACTGCTCCCACTTTCTTGGACCAGACTCAACTCCCCATTGGCTCTCCCACCGCAATCTGCATCCGAGCTGGGCTCATGGCCGAGAACCTTGCCAAAACAACCAGCAGAGGACGGTGGAGATGTATATTATCACCACTCTGGACACCGATTGACGAGTGAGACTTTGTGAGAGATTACAGGTTCATTTACATCAATTCCGAGATCAAAAGAGTCCACCGACGGGCCAAACCGATACAATGGGTCTTCTCCAGGTAAAACGCGACATTATCCACCAATCACTTCTAGGTGTTGACACAGTTTATAGACCTTTCTCCCTGAAAATAATCGTTATGCTGCAATGCTACTTTATGGCATGGTGCTATCCACCTGTGAGGAATCACGCCGTCAACACTAGCCATGGGCAACTTCAAGCTGACCAGATTGGGCTCACCCGGACAGGCTTCAATGGCTACGACGCCGGGATCATGACCGTTATTTTCGCTGATGATCAGTTCGTCGAATACTATGATATGGATGCAAACAAGCAGGGCATTGTTGCCACAGCGCCCTGGGCAACAACCGGTAAGGTTTCATTGACGATGCAGACGAGCAGTGTGGTTGAATTGACTGATAATTTATATAGGTTTGGCACAGCTGTGTGTTGGCGGCACTTTGGCAAATTTGGTTGGCCGCCTTTGGGCTCTGCGAATATCCATCTTTGTCATGTGCATTGGCGTGGTAGCTCAGAGTGTGCCAAACTCTTTCGGCGTGCTTCTATTCGGTCGTCTTCTCACGTATGTTGATCATGCATTTCCCCTTCTCTTGGTACGGATTTTAGTTGGTTTGACCTAAAATGACTAATAGCGGCCTCGGCTTCGGATGTGTCTATATTGCTACAAGTTTATATGGTAGGAGAACCCCGAAGTAGTCCTTGTTCCACACAATTCACTCTAACGCAATATCAGTTGCGGAATGCTCTCCAAGAACCTTACGCGGTAGCTTTGTTGGTACAGTGACTCAATTCGGCTACCAGCTAGGAACCCTGATTGCTTTCTGGACCGGCTACGGCATGTCGTTTCACAAGTCACCTTTCAATATCGCATGGCGCGTATCCAACGTGGTTCAAATCCCCATCGGCCTCGCTTTCATAGGTCTTTCCTTTTGGTACCCAGAGTCCCCCAGATGGCTCTACGAAAAGAAACCGGACGATACTGATCGCGTGATCAATGTTCTATGCAAGTTGAGAAGCGGGACGCCTGACTCAGAGCATGTTAGGCAAGAATTCCACGAACTGGTAGCCTCTCATGAGTATAGAAAACGATTCAAGACAGGTTACAGTGCCATATTCTCCTCCCCGGGCATGAGGAAGAGACTTCTTTACGGTCTCTACGCTACAGCTTTGCAGCAAGCTGGCGGCATTGCTGCACTAACCATGTATGCTGCACTAATTTACAAATCACTTGGTTGGGATCAAGGAAGTCAGGCACTTGCTATCAATGGAATTCAGGCTGTTCTGCAGCTCTTTATTGTCCTCATCAACACATTCACCGTGGATCGGTTCGGTCGGAGAGCGTTGTTGATTGCAGGCTTCTCTATTCAAGCCGCGGCTCTCTTGGTTCTATCCTCCGTTACAACAGCGTTTCCCAACAATGAGAGCAAGGCTGGATCTGTCGTGGCTGTTGTATGCCTTTTCATTGTCGGCATGACATATTGCTGGTCCAACGGTCCCGTTCCGCCTGCTATCGCGTCCGAGATCTTCCCCCAAGAGGTTCGTGACAAGGCATTCGGCGTTTCATTGCTGGGCCAAACTGTCTGTCTCATTGCCCTTACTCAGCCTTGGCCTCGTTTCAACGAGCAAGTGGGAGGCAAAAGTTACTGGCTTCTCTTCGCCTTGAATACTGTTCTTTTGGTAGGTCTCATATCCGATAGGGGCGATCTGAGCAGCTGTCTGACATTTTATATCCACTTAGATTTCCGTTATTTTTATTCTTCCTGAAACCAAAGGAGTATCATTGGAGAGAATGGACACAATCTTTGGGGAAGTCGACGCTGTGGCAGCCGGCGAGGCTAATAGCAGCCTCAAAGCGGACCCCCACGACAATGATCACCTCCACGAGCGTAAAAGTTCTACAAAGGTTGAGGTTGCAGATGAGAAGGCCTAGCTATTCTTCCTCATTATGAATTTGAAGTCGAAGTGTCCGTGAGCACACATTTTGTCTGGAAAATTCTGAAACTAAGGATGTTTAGAGAAGTCTTTCTTGGAACCATCATAGGAAGTATCTAAAATCTAGGGGGACTTATATGATGAATAGCTAAGGGAAAGGTAGCTTAATATGAATAATTGCTGAGATTAACCACCGTGCTGCTAGGAAATTTGGATATTTATCTCGACCCAAGGCTGTATCCGAAAAGTGATATGTATGGCATCTCAAACCCCCGGAATATAAGAAGACGCCTTCTCCATGTTCATACAATATTAGAGTATTCAAAAAGTTTCCCTGTTCTTCGCGCTGTCTTTGGTATTTAGCTATTGACCTATTCCTGGTATTACTTTTTTTTCTAGATCGTATCCGGTGCCTCCTGCTACTTTAGCCCAAAAATGGCTTCTAGGAAATCACGCGCTGTTATGTTTCATTCAAGAGACATATGAGACTGATATGCCTCAAAAAGAATCTCGATTAAGGGTATAATCATATGGCACTTGAGATATATTACTATCTAAGTATGGTTTTTGAACCTATGTCGATGTGTATATATCTCATAAAACGGGACAAACACTTAACTGACAAACTCGAACGCGTAAGCCGTGTACTCGTTGTCTGGGGTAACCCAAAAGGTGATCTGTTTAGTACACTGTCAGCCCAAGAACTTCGACCCGCAAGGTGTGTCTTTGTGAAGTTCACTTACCTGATCATCGGATACAGTGTGGGTTGCAATACCCAGATCTGTAGGGGCGGAGCCTTCCAGGTACCAGTCCAGATGAGTGAATCGCTTCGTTCTGATTTGAACGGATCCAGAGATCCCAAGCGCACTCAAACCTGTGACCCTTACATCATAAGTGCGAACACCAACCTTCGGGCGTAAGCCTGTCAATATCCTCACGCTATCCTTGGAGCTTCCTCGAGTAGCGAACACTTCAAACATGCCGTCACCAGACGATGTAGTAGCTACTCTATTTCCCGTCATGGAGTTTGCGTAATAGTTGTACACATACCACTGTGCCGAGGGGAAGTATCTGGTTCCTTCGA